GTTGAGTCACAGGGAGGGTTGTTACAGAAGACGACACACAAGACAGTTGTAGAGCAGTTGTTAGTTAGCGGGAACCACCTTCGGCGGTTTCCATACAAGACGCGTGACCATCTACAAATGGTAAGGTCATGGGAAATCCCATGAAACACAAGTAACCTCGGCCAGCACCAAAACCCCAATGGGGAAAGCTTTGCACGAGGGGGGGGAGGAAATGGTAGAACGAATAAGGAGGGTAGGGTATCGGGATAGAGGACAAAAGAGAGAAAGAGGGGGAGCGATAGAGAGGAGAAGTCCATGACTATGCAATGGATATGGTCGTTGGAGACTCCGTATCCGTAACACACAAGCTCAGGTGAGATACTGAGTATCTCAACTGGTGCACAGCAATATTCCGCAAATTTTGTTCCCATGAGCTCAGGTGAGATACTGTCATATCCATCCCTGGCCATCAACTTCCGATCCCTCCGATCCCTCCGGTCTACCTCCGCTCCTTCCTCACTAACCTCGGAGCTCCTGTATTCCGCAATCCCCTTGGTACCCCTCGATGGTCACCACCCCCTCCTTTCAATTTATTACCTACGCCTCCCTAAGTATGGAGCCCCGAAGGCTTCCGGACAGCTCTGATGTCCGCTAATGCACTCCTTCCTCCGCTGGGCAATACACTCGCCTGCCCGCAGAGCCCACCTTCGGGCCTATCCCTCCTTTCCGTTTCTGGGTTATCGCCTGCCTTTCCGTTAACCCCGTAACCCGACTCGTTGGTAACATTCAGTTGGCTAATGTTTAACCCCATTAGCTCCGCTCCGCTCAGCTCCACCATTTGCGGACCCGTCTTCGCTGTAACTATATATATCCAACTTGTACATAGGTTACACTTCAGTAATAAAATCGACTAGAGTTTACCCCCTTCAGTTCTGGTTGCCAGTTAGTAAGTTAGGGCACGGATGTGTTACTTGGCACAGCGCTCCTGGCACAAGTCGCTGAGACCGAAGCCCTCCACCACGGAGACACTCCCTCGTCTCAACCTGGTCTCTGACAGATACTCAGTATCTCAACTGACACATGGCAACATTTGCTTCCACAAATTCTGTTCCCACAAGCTCAGGTGAGATACTGAGTATCTCAACTGATGCATGGCAATATTTGCTTCCACAAATTTTGTTCCCACGAGCTGAGGTGAGATACTGAGTATCTCAACTGGCACACGGCAATATTTGCTTCCGCAAATTCTGTTCCCACAAGCTCAGGTGAGATACTCAGTATCTCAATGGTGACTGCATTTGCTTGCAATTTTTTGAAGTATAACATCAGTATCTCAATGGGTGCACTGCAACATTTGCTTCCGCAAATTTTGTTCCCGCAAGCTCAGGTGAGACACTCAGTATCTCAACTGATGCACGCAAAATTCGCTTCTGCAAATTCTGTTCCCACAAGCTCAGGTGAGATACTCAGTATCTCAACTGATGCATGGCAACATTTGCTTCAGCAAATTTTGTTCCCACAAGCCAAGGTGAGATACTCAGTATCTCAGCTGGCACACAGCAACATTTGCCTCTGCAAATGTTGTTCCCACAAGCTGAGGTCAGATATTCCAGTTGTCCTCATCCCACGTTCACTCAGCCTGTCAGAGACCAGGTTCGAGACGAAGGAAAGTCTCCATGGTGGAGGGCTTCGGCCTCAGCGACTTATGCCAAGAGTGCTGTGCCTAGTAACATGTCCGTGCCCTAACTTACTAACTGGCAACCAGAACTGAAGGGGGTTAACTCTAGTTGATTTTATTACTGAAGTGTAACCTATGTACAAGTTGGATATATATATGGTTACAGTGAAGACGGGTCTGCAAATGGTGGAGCCGAATGGAGCGGAGCTAACGGGGTTAAACATTAGCCGACTGAATATTACCGACGAGTTGGGTCGTGGGGTTAATGGGAAGGCAGGCGATAACCCAGAAACGGAAAGGAGGGATAGGCCCGAAGGTGGGCTCTTGTCACGGCCGTGCATTCCGGCCCATTAGCTGCCCGTCCCGATGCCGCCCGAGCCCGTTCCCGCTATGCGAGCATGAGCGCGAGCCCCAACCTCAGCCCTACCCTCCCTGAGGACTCCCTGCTCACTTCCCCGCTTGCCCCTAGGCTCCCCTACACTTGGCCGACTCCCCTGCTGCTGCACCAACCTTCCCACCCTGAGTCCGCCTCCGGCACCGTGCCCAGCGTGACTCCCCTACCCCGCCCACTTGGCCCCTACAGGACCGCTATCATCCCTGCACCCGACTCTGGCCCAACTCCGAGTCCAGCGCCGCTACGATACCATCACCGCTATTGCGGCCCTACGCTCTTTCCTTTATTTATCTGTTATTGTTTGTTTTGACCCTCGGTCATTGCCGGCCGCTATGCGGCCAACCCCGCTCCTTATCCTTGTTTGCTTCCGGACCCTTCGGCCTTCGGCCCGGGTCCGCTTCCATTCATTTCTTCCTCCTATATATATCCTGTATACTACATTATAGTACTTTAGCTCTAATATCGATGTGACCACGACCCCTAAGTCCTGACCCCAACAAGGCAACCCCAGTGAGTCCGAAATGAGGGCCAAGAGACAGCTAGGGGGCACAGCACTCCCTTTAGAGTTGCTGAGGCCAAATGCCCTACCCTCGGGCCTTGTCTAAGGCATCGCGGCCATCGCGGCCAATAGCGGCCCGCATCGGCAACCTTCGGTGCCGACCCCGGACCAGTGTCTAACAGCTCTGCAGGGCAGGCAAGTGTATTGCCCAGCAGAGGCAGGAGTGCACTAGCGGACGTCGGAGCTGTCCGGAAGTCTTCGGGGCTCCGTACTTAGGGAGGCATAGGTAATAAATTGAAAGGAGGGGGTGGTGACCATCGAGGGGTACCGAGAGGATTGCGGAATACAGGAGCTCCGAGGTTAGTGAAGGAGTGGAGGTAGACCGGAGGGATCGGAGGGACCAGAAGTCGATGGCCAGGGATGGATATGACACAGCCCACAGACATATTTGGTGATGGGAAATGGTCTTGTCAGGTGATCCCGAAATTTTGATTCAATAAATATCAAGAGAAAGCGGAGTTGTGAGGCCAACTACCATGGACTGAGGACTGAGAACTATTCATAATATTGGGGTTTGCCATGCACCAGTTGAGATACTCAGTATCTGTGGAAGCAAATATTGCCATGCATCAGCTGAGATACTTATTCATAGGTTCCATCATTTTGCAATTCCATCAGTGAGATTGGCACCTGACAAGTTCAACTCTTTAACATGTCACGTGTCCACATATTCATCAGACATCAGGAGGGGAGTTAGATCCCTTGGCATTCGTAGATCCAGTATCATTTATCATTTATTATTTATTATTTATTATTTGTTATTATTTGTCATATATACACATAGGAGACTAGGCAAGGGACCGGGTTTACTGACATAACGTTGTTGTCATATCCATGCATACCCAACCCTGACCTGACTTCCGGACCTCCACCCTCTTCACCTCCGGAGTCATAACCTACCGCTGCCGTTCCGATACTCACCTTCGGTCTTGGCAACACACCTCCTCCTTACCCCCCACGCCACCTCTACTCCTCCTCCTCCTACTCCACTCCCCCTCCGCAACGCCTCCACCCTCCCATAATCCTCCTACGCTTCCCCCGTCCGCTCCGATACTCGCCTTCGGACCTGACAACCCTCCTCTCCGCCACTCATTCCCCCTTACCTTTCCCCTCTCTCCTCCCTCTGGTACTCCTCCACCACCCTTCCGCCAAGTTACAACCTTCCGCCACTGTCCCGTACTTCCTACACGGACGCCGATCGTATCTTCACTCCGAGCCTCCGTCATAGTCCCGACCTCGGACTTTGACTCCACCTCGGTCTTAGTCCATTGCATTGGTGACCTCATACTACGTAAACACCATTGCCAATATCCCTCGGACTTTCAACCCCACCTCCGTAACCTCCATAACCTCCGCAACCTCTGAGCTTCGTGGATCGCCTTCGGCACTTTCGCCGCCTGTAATGTATTTCTCGCATTTACCCCTCATCCCTATTTGGACTACTGCTTCTTCCCATTCTAGCCAGTTAGTCATCACCCCCACTTCTCCTCATCCTCCTGCCCCTCTGGGCCTTGCCCTCCCTACCTCCTTTTGGAAGTATCACAGGTCCTACCTTATGACCTTCGGTACCGCTCCGCTTCTTCTACCCTTTGTTCCCGTTCGGACGTCTTCGTTCTGATTCGGTTCCCCTTTGTTTCCTTGTGCTTTTGCCCCTTCCATTATATATATCGGCGCTTGTACATACTCGTGGGTTCAGTCCGAAATCGACCTGAAATGCCCTCTAGAGACTTCCTGCTCACCTACTGTGAAATTAAGGACCAAATGGACAAACAGCAATGGCACAGCGCTCCGCTTGAGTCGCTGAGGCAAAGGTCCCTCCACGCTAAGTCTCCGATTCCACTCCGGAGTCGTCTGAATCCGCCCATCTCTAACAGTTGTCATTGGTTAGTAAGCTAAGTGTCTGAACCATCATCATCCACTGCACCCTGTTCTGATCTTTCACTTCTGCATGGGCGGATCCACTGAATGTTCCTCGATCGCTTGCATGGATGCAACAAGATAATGGGCACAGATGTAGAGGCAGGTGCATCTAAGGGATAAAGAGTGCCATGTGCCCGGCTGCGAGTAGTCCATGGTCAGTCAGGTTCCGCAAGAGGAAGCCAAGCAAGAGTGTCCAACCACCACACTATCTCTCCCTGGATCTTATTGACCAACCTGGCACTGACCTTGCTGTCCTCTTTGAACAGTCCCCATGATGTCCAATATGCCATTCCCTTCTACCCTGTTGCTGATGCAGGCGCCACAGTGCCCTTGTCAAGGAAGAAAATCCCAACATTGTGCCTCCACTCTGTGGTGCTGCATTCTCGCACTTTGCAGTGCATGAACACATGTGCAAGATCCAGGTCTTCGAATATCTCCAATGTTGCCTCCTCTCTTTCAGTCTTTCCAAGTCAGATGTGTGCTCCTCTACCACCCTTGACCCCTGGTGCCTTGACCAATAAATCTCGTGGAAATGACCACCAAATTTCCTTCAGCATCTCCCCCATCTCCTTTGTTTCTGCAGTCGTTTGCTGTGCCCAAGGGAGATCATTGACATGGTCATATCCACCTCCAAGAAGTGCTTCCCTCAGATCATCAAGATTGAAAGAGTCATCGGCACCTCCATGGATCAGTGGCTCCTCGATGAGTCCTGTAGGGCATGTGCTCCATGGAACGTGGTCAGGGTGCCTCTCAGCAATCAGCTGAATCTTTGAGGTCTTTAGGCAGAGTGTCTGAAGGTCATACTTGAGTAAAAATGGCCAATGATCCCTGGATATGCATCGCCATGGGGAATATTCCAATCGAGGACAATCAGTCTCAGGCTGGAGCACCAGAGCCCGAGTCATGAACATGCCGAATGGCATGTAACTGAACCGTTCGATTTCGTTGCCATCACCTTCCTCCCCCTCTTCTGGCTCCCGCCCATGATCCCTGGCTGCCCTGTCGGTGAACGTGTCTGGGAGTAGTTCCGGCATGTCAGTGAAGAGATGCTCTGAGGCTACATCTTCCATGTGTGGAAGCACATAGTCTGCCAGGGCCTTGAATGTGGGGTCGTCTTTTGGCCGACTGTTGAGGGCGTTCATCATCCACAGTGCTGCTGCCCTCAAAGCCAAGGACATCTCCTTGGATGCAAGGCTCCCTACCACTGTCCTGCTGCCACTCGCATATCCAGTTCAGAGCAAGCAGACGGAATTGTTTGAATTCCCTGAACACATGAGGACAAAGGTCTCATCCAATTTATCCAGGTGCATAACAAAGGGTCATACTCACCACAGAATATCCGCTGGAATGACCAACGTGGCCCAGAGCAGAGACTGTAGAGGGAGTGTGCAGAGCACAGAGTGGACATGCCAAATGGGAAGCCATGCTTCGAAGTGGGCTGCACCTGAAAACTTCTTCTGGGCTGCTTCTCCATACAACGAATACATCCCTTGGAACCATTTTGATCCCCCATCAGGAGCCTTTGAGTTGAGGATAACATCTGCACCAAGTTCCTTGGTGACTGACCTCCCAGCGAGCTGGTAGGTGAGCTGTTTCTCTGTGTGATAGACGTTAAGATATGTTATGCTGTGAGTGTTGTGCCAAGCTACAGGCTGTGAAGATAAGTCCAGTCAGGAACGTAACTTGGCCAAAAGTGTCAGAGACCAGATTCGAGACGAAGGAATGTCTCCGTAACGGAGGGCTTCGGCCTCAGCGACTTCTGCCAAGAGTGCTGTGCCTAGTGACATGTCCGTGCCCTAACTTACTGACTGGCAATTAGAACCTAGGGGGGTAACTCTAGTTGATTTTATTACTGGAGTGTAACCTATGTACAAGCGGGATATATATATGGTTACAGCAAAGGCGGGTCCGCAATTGGCGGAGCCGAATGGAGCGGAGCTAATGGGGTTAATCATTAGCCGACTGAATATTACCGACGAGTCGGGTCGCGGGGTTAACGGAAAGGAGGGATAAGCCCGAAGGTGGGCTCTGCAGGGCAGGCGATTGTATTGCCCAGCGGAGGCAGGGGTGTGCTAGCGGATGTTGGAGCTGTCCGGAAGTCTTTGGGGCTCCATACTTAGGGAGGCGTAGGTAATAAGTTGAAATGAGGGGGTGGTGACCATTGAGGGGTGCCGAGAGGATTGCGGAATATGGGGGTTCCGAGGTTAGTGAAGGAGGAGCGGAGTTAGACCGGAGGGAACAGAGGGACCGGAAGTTGATGGCCAGGAATGGATATGACAAAAAGGGGACTCATCTTACTTCAAGCCGGAACCCTGAGATGTCTGTGAACTGGGCAAGGAGATCCTGTCGATACCGGTCATATCCCCACTGCGTGCGATGGTGGCATTCCCTCTCCATCCAGCCTGGAATGATCATCTGAACCATGTGTTCATGCCCATCAGTCTGCCAACAGACTGTATGTCCTGGAACTGTCACTTCAATCCCGATGTCGACATAGCAACTTTCCTCCTCTGAATCCATACTGCTCAGCATATCGAGATCAAGTCCTGCTGTCATCCTGGCCAGTTCATGCTCCGAATGTGTGATGAAGACCTCATCTGGTTTGTTCTGAGGTTGTGCATCATGACAGCTGGCATCCTTGTGCCCACAAACATTGGTGAGGAAGAATGCTTGTTGGCCCCAAGGCTGCTGTCCAAGCAGGTGGCGGACTTCGATGCCAAATTGGGGGACATCTGGTGCAGTGATAATCACAGATCCAAATGCGTGGCCACCAGAAGTGGTCTGTGTCCGGAATAGCTCTTGGAGCTATCGTAATTGCCGCTGGCTGTACGATGGTATCATAGACCATCTTCATTTCCACCTGAGATAGAGATACTGTAAGGTGGGTGTCCTAGAACCCAGCTGTGAGTATCAAATATGTATGATTCACAGTGGGTAGGACGATAGTGACCTCCCTGGGTCACGTGACCCCCTACATACATGGACTGTGACCTGACAGATACCCCATGACAATCCTCAGACATCAGCATCGGGAAGAAGAGATGGATGGAGGTGCATTCTGCAAGATTTCCAAGGCCAATGTTGGGAATCTTGTGAAGCTCTATGTGAATGGGAGCATCCTATTTCCATGTGTCAGCATGAAGGAGTTGACAGGTAAGAACAAACCACATGTGCCCTGGAGAAGAACCCTCTTTGACAGATGTAAAGAATGATCCATTGTGTGTTTAAACGGTGGTATGGGGTGAACATAAAGATGTGCCTTAATATGTGCAAGGGTGTTTGTCCAGCACACCAAGGAGTCAAAGTCACGGGTGAGTGTGAAAATGGTGTCATTGGCAGGCGCATAGCAGAGAGCATCCACATGTGCCTGATGGTGGTGATTTGGATGTCGGCCACTGATTGCAAAGTGTGCCAAGCACATGAATGTCAGGGCACAGCCCTTGACCCCACTCACCCTCAGACACCCTCACCCTTTCCCTAACCACCCTCTCTCCACATTTCCCCATTCCCCTTATCCCTCCCCCCACTGTTCCACATAATGATGCACGCGCGCGAACCCGTGGGAACGTTCTGGGCGAGCGACTCGCCCAGAAATGTACAGCCACAACCGTGGGAACATTCTGGGTGAGCAGCTCGCCCAGAACTTTCCCACGGGTCACACCCATTATGGGAAGTCGGCAGCAAGCGGGAACTGTATAGTTCCTAGGGTCCTTTTGTGTCGGCCTCACAGGGGGCTGAGAAGCTTACCCTTCTTCTCAGCTCATTCCCTGTGAAGGCTGAGGCCAGTCCCCTCAGCGACTTCGAGGAGTTAGCACCTGGGGAGAGTACCCCAGCTTCCACACCCAGTCTCGCCCTCCGGCCACTCCCAGCTGGGGTCCGGATCCTGACAATGAATCCCTGATGGTAGCTGCCTTCATCCTCAGCCTCTCCATCGCGTAGCTGGAAGAGGTGGCGACATTCTCGGGTAAAGTCTTTGATGTTGTAGTCCTTGAAAGGAAGCAGATCATTGGCACTGTTGTAATCAGTTGAGTTGGCCATGGTCAATAGGATGAAGACGAGGTGAAGCTGAGAAGTGGTTTAACAACAGTGTAGGGTTAGGGTTAGGGTCAAGCAAAGGGAAGGTATGAGCCATCATTATATCCTTTCCCTGGGTCCCATCATGGACAACTTACATCACTACCCACATAGGCATTGTAGATACATGCACAACAAGGACATGGAACAAGCTAACACTAAGGAGCTTGGAAATGGTTGGGGAATGTCTGGGTTGAGGGGTGGTTCACATGTGAAATTGAAACCAAAGAATCGATACATTCAGCCGACACACCACTAAGACAATGTCAGCATGGATGGAAAACAGGAGAAATATCAAAGTTCTTGCCATCTTGGGAGATTTTCCAAGGTCTGAGATAACCATTCCATACATTACCACTCACTGTACAGAACCGTCATGGGCATGCTTGGACATCAACATTCTCCTGATTTTTCAGAGTGCCATGGCAAAGGATTGAGATGTGTTATGGGCATGTTCCAGTCTGTTGAGAGCCATAAGCACATTCCTAAGTACATACAGACGACACCACCATGGATGGCTCAGCATGCTCTGACCATGAGGGCAATGCGAAACCATACAAATAATGCAAATGATGTCAGAGAACCATATCATGCCCTGGAGGGATGGAAAGACAGTGTGATAGATGGCATTGTTTGAAGAACATGTGCATTGGATGATGCAATGCATGATAGGCTTCTTATGCATTCCAGACACACACATGCAGGTGGCTAAAAACACTGCACTGAGACTCATGAAGCATGGAACGCTTCTCTGGGGTTGGTGAGTTGAAGGAAGGATATGTGGCTGGGTCACGTGACAGATTCAAGGCATTAACAGGTCACATGTCAACATGAGTTACATTCAGGCCAGCACTCAAAACAACAAAATACTTATTCTATTACTCTAGTATGTCCACAGTGTACCAAGATGATGAAGGCAAAATAAAAGGGAAATATGTCCTGAAGGGAATGCATGCAGTGTCGTGAATGAAGTTGTTTCGAGAACATGTGTATGCCATGATGCACCTCATTATGGACTCCTCATGTATTCTGTTGGAAATCATTGTGGTTAACGACGATCTATTTACCTTATTAGTTTGTCTGATGCGGTGTTGATGGGATCACTGCTGATACCCTTTTCTGCCTACTCTTTCTGTTCTATGCATTAACCCTTGCCGACGACCATGTGTCGCGATTGCAAGCGATATTAGTACTCGTTGTATAAATGGCACAGGGCGCTAGGTTTTTTCCCTTTCCCTCAGTTCTCAAGTTAGAGACTGAGGTGATATCCCTTTTGTTGTTTTTAACTTTCGTATAACTGACTGTACTCTCCGTGTTATAGTCCATGCGTACAGGTAAAGAGTTACAATGTTATTAGTTCTCAAGTTAGAGACTGAGTCTGTGTGTACAACTCTATTAATCATTTCATATTCCATGCACAAACTGGCCACACACATAGCGCTGCACTGAGAGTTGTGGAGTGTGTGATGTGCTGATGGCAGATCGGTTGTGTATATGATGCAGTACAACATGTTACAATGCGGTTCAGAATGACATGAGGGTGTGGATGAATGATAAGACTTGGAAAGGTATAAAGCAACTTGGATTGCCCAACTCTGCACTTCCACAACCATCTGGACCATCAATCGACATGCCTCTCATGCAGCTCTCTGCCCTTATGATCCACTTCTGGATCCTCCCAATCAACCTCGAAAGGCCACAGGAGGACAAACCGCCATGGAACTCAACAATATGGTGTAACGCTACTGATGTCCATTCTGGCCTCTTTCCAGAGGACGTCGCTTCTCTTCCCCAGTATATTGGTTGGGATATGGCTCAGAAAAATGCTGTCTTGAGACTCTTCAACTCTGCATTGAATAAAAATGCACAAGCGGTTTGGGATTTGATGGCACATCCTCCAGCTGACTTGAAGGGTGCAGTGAAGATCTGGACTGCCACCTGGAAGAAGATGTGGGATCGTGTCTGGGGATTCATGGCCATCGAAAACGTGTTGATCAAGACTGACTTCCATCCCCATTCCATCATGTGGAGGAGGGCATGGCCACATGCCCTCCATCGCTAGGGACTTGTCCACAGGACGTCGCTGATGTGCTCTTCAGTACAGAGATATCCCTGCGGACTTCAAGCCAGAACACCCAATCCTCACCTCGCCTGTCTTGGTGATCATGGACCAATTGCTCTCAGTTGCTTGGCATCGATTGACTGTCAAGAGCAAGAGAATGGAGAAAGTCCTGGAGAGGCTGGAGAAGCAGGCAGTGGAGAAATTCGAAAGTATGTCTTCCAATGCCCACATGAATTACAAAGCATCTCTCAGCTCCCTTGCTTCGGCTTCCCAGAACTCCAACAGCTCTTTGAAGATGCTCCATCAAAACTCACGGTTCCCATGATCAAGACCACATCCCAGATCATCGACGATTACTCCCTTCGTGCCCAACTTTTCCCCAGTGCCAACCGCAAAAAGCGCATCGAGGAGATGAAGGGATTCATGGGCATGTTGTTCGCCATCCTCGACATCAAGGTCCATGAACACGTTATCACAATAGACCGTACAAGTGAGCATGGCAGTGCCAAGGCCAGATACCTTCACTCACCTCTGTGCCTTGCAGAATTCAACACCAGCATGCTCAACATCTTGAAGAAACTTGCCACAGTGGAGCAGCTGAAAGAGCTGGAAGCATACTGTGTGGAACTATTTCAACTGACAGCTGAGGGACACTTGATCGAAGACATTTGAAACATCCACAATGCAAATCAATGCATGGATGCTCTGAATGCTACATGGGGAACTGAAGATCTGGGGATGGGACCAGCAAGACAGATTCTGGATCTGGAAGCACTCAAGGCCAGTCTGGAGCTCAACAGCCCACGTTCAGATTGTCAACTAGGTTTCTTGGCCACTGAGTGCGACAAAATGCAGCGCTACACATCATGGGACCCCCAATTCCAACAGAATAGTGATTGGAGGAAGGCTGGGAACATCGCTCCCTTGACCCTTCAAGAACAGCAACTAGATGGTATTTACAGCATGTGCCACATGCTGTTTACTCCCACCCCTGGACGGAAATCTGGTATTCTTGTGGCCAATGCAATGGGAGTCGGAAAAACTGGGTGAGTCTCTTTCCTATAAGGCCCTCACATGTTGATTCACTCCCATCCATAGGCAAGCATTGGCATTCATTTCCCTGATCATACACCAGATCTCAAGACAAAAAGCTGGAGCATTGCCCTCAAAGGGCACAATCTTTGGTATGTCCAGTCATATAACTTGAAATTTGACTTTCTCACATGTCCTGCAGCCGAGCGTCCATACCCCAATGGACTTGTGTCAGGGATCAGCAATGACCCTGGACCCTATGCTGGCTGCGCATATGCATGTGGGGAGTATGCCGGTAATTCCCATCTACTCCGCTTACCTAAGCCCCGGTGACCTGGATCATCTCCAGCATTGTTCTGGAACATTCTATGATCATGTGATTCTATCGGCAATCTGTTTGGTTTCCTTATTGCTGGACTCTACATGTATATAGCTGACCCTAAGATGGGGACATCCCTTTCCCCTGGCTTTAATCACAACTAGGTTATCGAAGCATCCTGTGCAAGCATGCACATCCCCTGACAACTTGGTGAGACGAGGATTCCAGTTGGACCTCATATCATCATTTGTTCTGTCTCTCTCATCGAGAACTGGCTGAGGGAAACTTACATGTGGTTCCTGTCAGGAACAGTCGATGTTATGGTGTACACCAACGAGACCCAGAAATCATTCTGGGGGGAAGGTGGGATTTGGAGCAAGTCCAAACTCCCATTGGAACACCACATCATTATCATGGCAGACTGTCATATCCATCCCCGGCCATCGACTCCCGGGCTCTCCGACCCCCCCGTCCTCACTCCGCTCCCCCCTCACCAACCTCGGAGCCCCCGTATTCCGCAAACCTCCCGGTGCCCCTCGATGACCACCACCCCCTCATTTCAATTTATTACCTACGCCTCCCTAAGTACGGAGCCCCGAAGACTTCCGGACAGCTCCGACGTCCGCTAGCGCACTCCCGCCTCCGCTGGGCAATACACTCGCCTGCCCTGCAGAGTCCACCTTCGGGCTTATCCCTCCTTTCCGTTTCTGGGTTAACGCCTGCCTTTCCGCTAACCCCGCGAACCGACTCGTCGGTAATATTCAGTCGGCTAATGTCTTAACCCCGTTAGCTCCGCTCCGTCCGGCTCCGCCAATTGCGGAACCGCCTCCGCTGTAACCATATATATACACTACTTGTACATAGGTTACGCCCCAGCAAATAAATCAACTAGAGTTACCCCCACTAGGTTCTAAGTGCCAGTCAGTAAGTTAGGGCACGGACGTGTCACTAGGCACAGCGCTCCTGGCAGAAGTCGCTGAGGCCAAAGCCCTCCGTTACGGAGACATTCCTTCGTCTTAAAATCTGGTCTCTGACACAGACTCTGTGAATCCACAAGTGAATTACATCAAGTTGGACCCTTCTCACACATTCTTCAGACCTATGACTCAGAGTACCAACGATTGTACTCTATGACTAGGAACATCACAGCAAAAGCATCTTGCGATGATCGAATCTGGGAAGCTCCAGGAAAGGCACCTGGTTATGAGTCACATGTCAAACAGACCATATTCCAATTGAAGCCAACCCTCCTCATTGTGGATGAAATCCATAACCATCAGAAGCACCCAGTGAAGATGTACCCTCTTTGTGATGCTGCTACATTCATGATGGGGCATTCAGGAACACCACTTGTGATGGAACCCCAGGTATGGGAATGCACTTAGTATCTCAGGGATCTTGTGCTAACAATTTGACTCAGGACCTCTTGAACATTGGGCTCATGCTAGGTGTTCCTGACATGATGACCTTGAATGTCACATCATCTCAAAATGATGCCCGACAAACCATTCAAAAACTCACTGCCAATTCCAATTCCAACAGCAGAGAGATGCTGTCCAATGCCATCCTCTCTGGCAATTTCATCCAGCTCAGCCAGAATTCTGACCTCCAAATTGCCCACAGCCTCATGAGAGATTCCATTCTCTCCTTCAAACAGAATTTCAACGGCTACATCCTTTGAAGGACCCCAGGCTCCCAAAAGAGGAATGGGGAACACATCATCACATTGCCACCCCTGAATGTGGTGACTGCCTGGATCAAGCTTGGAGAGGAGCATGAGAAGGCACTCATAGAGGTGACAGAGGAGGAGTCGACCAAGTAAGGATATCAACCCATGCTGCTACCCAGACACTGACACACAGCCAATGCAGGGGACACTGTTAAGGTGAGAATACAGGGTGAGTGCCAAGAGATGTGTTGTGTGTTGTTTGATAAGCTGACCTGCAGGATTTAAAGAAATTCCTGATTCGGGGAGGAAAGGAACTGACCACATCAACGCCTGTGCTGCAGGGGAGTGGGCTCCCATATTCACCTCCATTAATGACTACAACAAAAATGGGGGAGACAAATGTAGGAAATGGGATGAGGCAATTAACATCATCATGCATGATAGATTGTGTGATGACATGCCCCCCTGCAAGGTGACTGATGCAGGGGAGCTCATCTACCCACCTCTCCCTATCGGCTCCTCACCACAATTCATGCAGGATCAGAAGTTTGCTGTGTACATGGAGTTCAAGCAAAACATCCAGTCCTTCACATCTGCACTCAGGGTCAAGGCAGGGGTCAGTGCATTGGTCCTCCATGGGAGCAAGTCTCCATCTGAGCGACTGGGCATCATCGACCAGTGGCAGTGTGGTACCATCATCAATGGCCTCCTGGCCTGTGTTCTCATCTTTACCTCCATGCTGAAGGCAGGTGTGAACCTGTTGGCAGCAGATTGGCTTATCCTGTTGGTAAGTTGTCTGTAGTGCTTTAGAGATACTAAGTGTCTAATGCCTTGTATAGAACTCGCAATGGTCCCAGCAGGACATCGATCAAATTATCGGGCGAGTCCATTGCCAACCCCAGGCCAGGCCAGTCACAGTGTATCACCTGTGCATGGTCAATTCTGCAGATTCCTTTATGATGTACACTTCAAGGAGCAAGGAACTGCAGCTTCGCATTTTCACAGACCAGGACAAGCTCAACAGTAAGTATGGTTAGAGTTGCAACTGCCAAGGAGGTGCTTACTTTTGTACAGGACTCCAAGACCTTCTCCTGGCTGGCCACTCATCCCTCCACGACATGGGTGAGGAGGGCGATGCCCCAGAATCCACAGCAGATGACAGTGGTGGCTCAGGTGCTTCGAAGTGCAAGGCAGCAACCAGTCCCCCAAGTATGCAAAGAAGAAAATGGACAAGGATGCAGCAAGTGAAGGGAAAGGGGAAGCAGCTGTACAATGCTTCTGACCCTTCAGGGCCTGATGCGACAACATGGAGACAGATGCAGCACCAGCTGTGTCCTGGAGGGTGCCACATGGGAGCAGAATGCTTGCAACCTCTGAAGAGATCGAGACAGATGTGGAGATCACCACGGATGAGCCAAGGGAGCCTCTGGTCATGGCCAGTGGGGGAATCATGGACATTGATAGTAAGTAGGGTGGACATGCTTGATATGTCATGTTCAAATGCTGAGAATGGGTCTGTCTGATTTCAGGCGATGGTAGTCAAGGTATGTGAAGCTGATCCTGGGTACAGCGTGCCTGATAAGTCCCTCCAGATGGCTCAACGACAAGGATTCCTGATGCGGGACCGTCCACTGGGGATATCATGATGATGGATGGAGAGGTATGTGGACAGAAAACAAGGAGGAGAGTTGAATCTGACAGCTTGCGTAGCACCACCATCAGGTCTTGCCAGCACCTTGAAGGTGGAGGCTAGAAGAGAGAGTGGTAGGGTGCAGCAAGAATCAGTTTCGAGGCAGGCTCCAGTGAAACGTTCAGCTGTTCCTAGACCGAGAGTGGTGGGGACATCAGTCAGTGCAATCTCTCAGGGTGCAAGTCCTCCAAGACTTCCACCAAAGCCCCCACAAGGAAGGAAACCGGGTGGAAAGAGATGACTGTAATCCTTGTATTTATAGTTATTTTATGACTGTTATATATGAAAGTTATTATGAGTGCACTGGAAGATTGTGTTACAGGCCCAGCTGAGATACTCAGTATCTCAACAATAGGAAGAGTTGTGTCTGCAAGTTCTTTCCCATCAGCCTGGAAGTGATGCTGAGTATCTCAATGCAAGATGTGTGTAGGATAATGTGTGTTCATGTGGTAACTGATGACATTACCCCAGGATGGTGACATGTGATGTGTCAAGCAATTGAAGTGGTCACATTACCACTGACATCTCCAAGAGTTGTGGTCGTATTTGGGGTCATCTTCAGAGGTCAGTGTCAGGGCCCAGCCTCGGACTCGGAAGCTCCCTGACCTCAACCCCCATCTGGCCTGTCCTCACACTATGCAGGGCATGAGATGAGAAGAAGGGTAAAGGTCTCATCTGCATGGTTGCTATATAAAGGAATGGGTCACATGTCCACAACTATACAGCTCCTAGAGTTGTGTAGTGTGACCTGGAGGGAACATCCAGGGGCCAGTGCCCAGAATCTTCCCACGGGTGTGGCTGTGCAGGTTTCTGGGCGAGGTGCTCACTCAGAAAGTTCCCACGCTATCCCATGTGTGCAGATACACAACACATAGAAGCAACAACATGGCAACAATGAAGGAATGGGAGGAAGGGAGTGGTTGGGGAGTCTGGGGTACCCTAGGGCAGGGTGCTGAAACCCTGACAGTCAGCTGGTGGTGTTCATCGGCGAGTTTGATCTTCGAGTGCTTTCTTGCTGTCTTGGTTCTTGGTTCTTGGTTAGCTGGTTGTTTATGGGGTCATGTTCATGTTCAGAGATGTGATCGGTCAATGAGGTCTAGCTTTCAGTTATGACCTTAGCTGTATTGTAGTGGAGTTGTCCGAATTTATTGTTATATTGTATCAGGTGAAATATTGAGCATCTCAACTAGCACAATGTGGCATATTTATTGATTGAAATCCTCAGTATCTCAACTGGCAGAACAGCAACATTTGTTTCCACACATTTTGTTCCCACAAGCCAAGGTGAAGATACTCAGTATCTCAACTTGCATGGCAACATTTGCTTCTGCAAATTTTGTTGGCACGAGCCAAGTGTCAGGGGACGGACCCTGGGTCCCCATGACCCCTCTCTACAGTCCACAGTCTGGCCTGTAAACACAGCCCATCTCAGGGCATAGCTACTGTGGGTAAGAAAGTGAGAAGAAGGTTAACTTCTCACTTTCCCACAGTGGCCCCAATATGGCGAAAACTTCCGGGGATACCCGGAAGTCACATGAGGTGGGATCTGGGGTTGGATCATGCGGCGTGCGGAGTGTGCGGTGCAGGAAGTGCGCGGGAAGTGGAGCGGGTCCGGATGCGGGTCCGGGTCCGGGCTAAGTCAGGGTATGTGCCCTGACACCAAGGTGAGATACTCAGTATCTCAACTTGCATGGCAACATTTGCTTCTGCAAAATCTGTTCCCATGAGCTCAGGTGAGATACTCAGTATCTCAGCTGGTGCATGGCAATATTTGCTTCTGCAAATTCTGTTCCCACGAGCTCAGGTGAGATACTCAGTATCTCAACTGATGCACGGCAATATTTGCTTCTGCAAAATCTGTTCCCACAAGCTCAGGTGAGATACTCAGTATCTCAACTGGCACATGGCAACATTTGCTTCCACAAATTCTGTTCCCACAAGCTCAGGTGAGATACTCAGTATCTCTGTCATATCCATCCCCGGCCATCAACTTCCGATCCCTCCGATCCCTCTGGTCTACTTCTGCTCCTTCTTCACTAACCTCGGAGCTCCCATATTCCGCAATCCCCTCGTACCCCTCGATGGTCACCACCCCCTCCTTTCAATATATTACCTACACCTCCCTAAGTACGGAGCCCCAAAGGCTTCCGGACAGCTCTGATGTCTGCTAGCACACTCCCGCCTCCGCTGGGCAATACACTTGCTTGCCCTGCAAAGCCCACCTTCGGGCCTATCCCTCATTTCCATTTCTGGGTTATCACCTGCCTCTCCGTTAACCCTGTAACCCGACTCGTTGGTAATATTCAATCGGCTAATGTCTAACCCCGTTAGCTCCGCTCTGCTCGGTTCCGCCATTTACAGCCCCGCCCTCGTTGTAACTATATATACTCAACTTGTACATAGGTTACACCTCAGTAATAAAATCGACTAGAGTTTATCCCCCTTCAGTTCTGGTTACCAGTTTAGTAAGTTAGGGCACGGACGTGTTACTTGGCACAGTGCTCCTGGCATAAGTCGCTGAGGCCGAAGCCCTCCGCCACAGAGACATTCCCTCGTCTCAACCTGGTCTCTGACAATCTCAACTGATGCACGGCAAAATTTGCTTCCGCAAATTCTGTTCCCATGAGCTCAGGTGAGATACTCAGTATCTCAACTGGTAGACAGCAACATTTGATTTGCTTCTGCAAATGTTGTTCCCAAGCATGGCAAACCAGCAGCTCATCACCTGATGAGTGAAATCTTTTGATACCTCATGTGACACCATCCCTGTACTATCGCAATGGCCATTCCCTGAGCATTGAGATAACATTGCCCACTGTCCATCCTACAATGACACTGTCAAATCTGAGTGTTCAATTATGGAAGCTAGGACTATTTATCATTCAACACCACTTGATCCTTGTCCCAACCTTCTTTTTTTCTCAGGTTTGTGTGCTGTGTCATGCAGCTTGTGTTTTGAGGATTGCACTGGTTCTGGCTGTGAGGGTTGATGGCATGGGAACAACTGCTGGAATTTCTTGTAGTTCATCCTTCCCATATGTTATGTCTTCCCTAGATCCTTGGGTTGGGGAACACCTTGCCATCATCTAGAGGCTCCCCTGGCACCCAATGTGGTTAGCTGGTTATGGGTCGAAGAGGTTCTCACTGCCATAATGGATAACGGCATGGATGGTACTTACACATCAAAGTCATCCTGTGTTGGCCTTTTTCTGTACCACCTTTTCAACCACCTTCCACTTTCTGACCTCCTCACCTGCTGCGTTTTGTACTGGCGGCCCTCTTTTAGCTGCCCTCTCCACCATAAGTGATAACGTTGGGGGTCTCTAAAACATGTGCTTCCCACTGCATGGGTGCCTAACGGTTTTAGCTCTCTTCGTCCTACATATGTGGCATGACATTCCAAAAAATCAAGAGGCACTCCAACACATCAAGAGGCACGCTTACGCATCTTGCCAACAATACTCGGAGCCGGCACCCGTTGCCTACAAACCCAAAAGCATCACTCCCCCTGGAAACAGTGTACGAGTTCTTGTCGTTGGCTATCCCCAGATGGGTGAAGTGTTAGATGATGGAATGGCACAGTTTTCTTTCATGGTGCGTTTTCCAGGCGAAACATTGCTTGATCTCATGTGTTTTTGATGCCCTCTCACTTCACACTCACGATGAATCATTGATCAGTTGCATCCCATATTTTTCCATCTGCAGTTTCAATCCAAGCCTGCCCCCCATTTGTACACATCTCTTCCCACATTTGAACTTCACACTCACTCAGGTTTGGCTTTAATCGCCTCGATTCTTTGTGCTCTTCCAACACCAACACCAACAACTTGCTGTCGATCCATACCTCTGTCCACCTGACACCGCTCCATTCCTGCGCTTCCATACACAGAATATCGCTCATTTCCAACCTTCTCTGTCACTCGTTCAGACCCTGACATAACATAGTAAACCACAAAACGGACAGCGCATCGTTCCTGTGGTCCCAAACACATGATGTCATTCACTTCCAACCTTCCATCGATCGATCAGACTCTAACAAACTCAGATTAGCTCAACCTTGGATGGCGACTCAAAAAATCTGCATAGCCCTTTGCACGATGCCACTCTGGTCACAAGGGCTGGGACTTTGCTCCTTGTTTCTTACCCAACGATCCCCTGCCTAGAGAACAAACAGCCCCTGAGTATCAGCTACATCAAGATACGGTGGAAGCTATCCAATATATTGTTTCCCAGGATGAGTGACTTGATCTTGTCTCTTGCTTCATTTTCCAACCTCCTCCTTCCCATATGCTCTTTTTTTTTTCTCACTTGTACATCCAAATATGAAAGCCATTTTCGATTGCTGGTCTGCATGTGATGGAGTATATAGTGGACTGCTCTGTACAAAAGATATTTGATGCATTGTGACTGCCATCTTACCAGGATGCCATGACATTGGGATTGAGGATTGCAATCCTACAAACGATACAGCAACTTTGATGATGATGGCTGGGTCGGTAGGTTGGGAAAACAATCCACCTTGCCTCCCGAGCTCCTTAGTGCCCAACAATATTTGTGAGGGAGTATGAATTCCTTCCCACAAACTCACTGTGGTACCAAGTAGCTTGACTGTCACATTACAAGATTTGTATCTGAATGACTTGTCTCACAAGCTAACTTAACCGGAAGAGGTGGCGAGGTTGGTGTGACACCAGCCACAGTGGCGCTGGAAATGTCCAACTGGCAAATTTTCGTGTTGATACATTTTACACCGAAAAAACGACTTCCTTGCAGACAGCTTTTGTTTTCATTGAATCTAATCGGTTCCAACCAACTTAGTGGACACAGCCCACGATGCAACGTGGGCCAGCGCAAAATGGGATTGCAAGAAAAGAAATACAATGGCCAAGGGCAAGCCATAACCGATGACCATAACATAGGAAGGAGGAGGGGAGGATGGTGGTGGAAAAAGAGCAAAGATTTGCCCATTGATGTGTCCATTGGATTTGTTTAGAGTAAACGCTCGGTGCGTTGTCCATCAAAAGTGGAGCGACTGGGCAATGTGCTCTGGATTAAGATGGGATTTTGGTGTAGATAAATAAGGAAGGCCTCGGAAAACCAACGACCAATTAAACAGATATGGTCTAGGGGAGTGCCAGTTAAAGCAAGTGCGGTGGCACCACCGGAGCGAAGTGAGTGACCAGCCACATTGGGGTCATTGATAATAGAACGCAGATGGGAGATAAACCAGGAGCGTGTAGGCAAACATCCGCTTTCATGGAGCCATAAGTCAGGCAGGTGAGGGAACCTAGTATCGTGCATGAAGAGGTAGTTTTTGAATTTGTGCATTGGTAGGAAAAAGAGACATGTGGACGTGGGTTGTTGCGAAACTTCACAGAAAAACGTCGGATGGACTTCCGAAAACTTCGCAATGCAACAACGTCATTGTCAACCAGCTCTCCTAAGTGCATAAGACAATGCCAACTGACGAAGCAAAGCGCAACAAAGAGATTGTCATTGAGAGAAGGAGTGAGCATGATAGCTTGTAGAATGCAGTGCAGGTCGCCCTCAGTTAGCGCCTGTTTTCGAACTGGGGGGGACCTATTAAGTTTAAAGCACCCAGCAAGGGTGCGTGAGAGAAGACGGGAATTTCGGATATCCCGGACCTCTGGCCAGTAGCCTTCAAGTTCGGCACAGATGCCTGAGAGGTATGAGGAAACCGAAGAAGGCTGGATGTGAGTGGACATGTAAACCACATAAAAGGTAAGGGTGTCCAGTGTTGGGGCATAAGGTTGGTTATGTAAATCACAGAAAGTGGTGTAAGAAAGAAGGGCAGAGGTATATGTGCACAAAGTTGAAGGCTCAAGGGCAGCACTGAGTGCAGTGGCCCGAGCCTGCTGTAAGCGCTCGATTGACCAAGGTTCACGCTGAGGTTGTCGGGTTGTCGAGTGCCCTCGTATGTTCATATTGATTTGGCCCCCGGTTTTAACAATGCCAGAGGCCTAAAGTGGTGGATAGTTAAAGAGGGATAAAGGTTTCACACAACCTCAAAGTTTCTCCACGACAAAGTGTCTGCAACAACGTTATGCCTTCACATAAATCCATCCCACTCTTGAACCGTGTAGCAATGGTGGACATGAGAATAGCGTTATAGAGGTCGGTAGCATGAAGGGAGTTAAAAATGTTGAGAGAATTTGTCGAATCAGTATGGATTGCAAGCTGCTTAGGCAAAGGAGAAATGGATGCTGCCCATTGGAGTGCAGCGAGGATAGTGATTGCCTCGTTATAGAAGATGTTGAAAGGCTCATCAGGAGTGAGAACTGGGTCCCCTATATAAGCAGCTTGGAGTTTTAGGGCCCAGAAAGCAAGTCCAATTTTGCATGCATCCCCAAAAATTTCCAGATCCGCATCGAACAGCGTCCAAACTTCAGTTGATAGGATCCTCACTCCCTTGAGTTGATTCACCAAGTCAGCGAACCATAATAAATCGTTGCGGACTTGCTTGTTGACATAAACAGGTTGGTGCATTGCTTGCTTTCCACCAACCTTATTGTACACCGAATTTAGTGCAGGTTTGAGCAAGGGGAAAACGTTGAGCATCCAGTTCGCATACCCGAGGGTCCGCAACCACACCGCAGCGGTTGACAGCGCGACCCATTTGGTGTGTCCAAGACAAAATCTCGTATCGCAGTGCAGAATTTCGCCTTGGCCTCAGCAGAGATTGAAATCGACAAATCTTCAACATCAAAGAGAAACCCAATCACTTCTAGCTGCTTGCCATACAGCTGCTTTGCATCGTCATGTGGCACTCCAATCTCATCCAAAAGTTCCAGGACGGTTGCCTGATCATGCAGCATGACGTGCTTGTAAGGTGCATAGAATTTGAGATCATTGGTGAAGGTGACATTGAAAGCATCGTCCACATAGTGTAGAAGTCCTTGGATCCTTTGCAGATGAATGGCGATCCAACAGACGAGTCCAAAGAAGAGGCACCAAAGCTGCCCAGAAGCTCAGTTCCCAAAAATGGCGCACCGGTCAACATGATAGGAACTGTTAACGAGAGTTGCCTGTCTTGCCTGCCATCTGGGGTGCATTGGAATATGTCGGTAAGCTTGAGAAGTGTCAGACTTCCACACATAACATGGTCAAATATTTCCATTTTGCAACATCATCGCTTGGATATTCGAGGCAAGGTTGCTGAGGTTATCAAGGATGACAAAGCCCCTTCGGCAGGAATCAAGGAGTTGAGGGACTTATTCCCAGCACTATGGTCATTAACCAGACGTTGTAGGAGGGCACAGCAAGTACCACACAAACAAGGCCAGAAACACGTTTTTCGAGGCTCCAACGAGCACCCCCAAGCATACAACACAATCCCAACGCCCACGACACATTTTAACATTTTTTTCCAATTTTTTCCATGCTTTTTTCTCAAGACCCATATTGCCACTTCCCCAAAATTCATGGATATCCACCATTTCCCCCATATCTCCACCAATTTTCCACCAATTCACACGATTTTGAGCTTGAAGGACAGCGATGGATTAGCAGAAGAGGATTAAAGGACGGGACGGGAGTTAGGATGACGGATATGCGGTGGAGAAGCGAGATTGATGGTTGATATTGACCTTATGGGCCTCAATTATTGATTTTATTGCTACCTTGTGGACACCTTTTTGCCTTATTGTTTCTCAGCCAAGTTCTCAACATTCTTCCTGTTTCCATTGACACCATCCATCGGCTATTTTCTCTTATTTTTTTTGTTCTGATTTCCCTTTTTTTTCTATAAATATGCCCAGTTTATCTTGTACTTACATTGTTGGACCCCTCTTCTGTGCTACAAAGAATGTGGTGTTGAGCGATCCCTCCATACGTTAAAGAGCCTCCTGACGACTGTCCAAGAAGGACCAGGAGTGAGTACATGATTAGTGAGATTTTATTGATTATTTTCTAGCACCCGGACCATGGCACAGTATCAGCACTGTTGCCACCCATCCTTTCCCATCTTCCGACCCGACTCAGACACTACCCCAGGTCCCTACTATTTTCCTGGGAAGCTCTTTTGCCCGGTTACATTATTGGTGGTCCTTACAGGGGGCCGGGGTTGTCAGTTTCCTGTTTGGGGTCACTTACGCCAAGTTTATGCAAGTTTTCACTTCCACTCATTTACAAATTGATTATTTGATCGTGGATATCGAGTATATACATCATTTGTTACACAAAAGCACGCCAAGAAGTACAAGTACAAGTTTAGGAATCCACAAGTTCACAGATCCACACGTTCCACACATTTTACCCAAGTTTCCCCCATTTTCCCTGGGATTCCTCCTTCCTGCCAGTGTCAAGAGGCACAGAGGATTGCCCTTGTTCCACGAAAGCAGGTTCTGAGTAGCCCTTACACTCCAGAAATCCCCGTTGTCACCCACATGGCACCTAGTTTGCCTCCAGAGATGGCCTCAGTCCCTGTCACTGCAGCGCCTGTGTTTGACGTTTATTACACGCCAATGCCTAGCACCTGTAGCCCCAGAGCGCCCCGATTCAAGGGAAAATGGGTTGCTAAGTTCCTGTGCAAGTATGAGTTGCTGGCGGATGCTGCACTCCTCACAGATGCCGAAAAGTGCAATTATTTGCCAGCTTATTGCTCCGATAAGGAAGCGAGGTTCATTTGCACCCTTCCTGACCTAGAGACCGGTGACTGGTCATCGCTCAAAGCAGAATTGCTGAGCTGTTACGGTGCCGACATTGAAGCACCTGTGTATCGCTTCAGAGATCTCCGCAAGTTTGTGGAGAAAGATTGCAAGATGGAAACCCTAGCCCATCTTGGATGCTATATGCGCAGTTCCTTGCCATTTCCAAGTCCCTAGCAGCACAGAATTGCCTCAGCGCTCTTGAATGCGATGAGTTGTTTTTCCGAGGCTTTCCATCCAAGTTCAGATATGAGCTCGAGTTTGAGCTGCAAGTGCAAGGTCCGTGGCTCGATTTGATCCGGCCACCCGAAATGCACGATGTTGTCGCAGCGGCAAAGATCCTGCTCCAGGACGACTTGTTTTATGATGACTTGTTTTGTGATCACAGTCTAGCTGACCATAGCAGTGACAGCGCAAGTTCCTGCCCATCGCCAGCTGAGACCCATAGCAGTGTGTATGCTCAGTTCCCAATGCAGTCCTCAGTTCAGAGTGACTTCATGCTCGAGTACGATCCAAGTATGAGCTCCAGCATGTCAGAAGACCTGGAAATCCCAGAGATGGGTAGCCCAGCGTTAGATTCGAATGACCTACACCAGTCTGAAGCGTCTGAGATGTCCAGCGCTGCAGATGCTGAGTCAAATGTCGCGTATGTGTCTGAATCAGAGTTTGAAACCGAGAGTACATCCAATGTACCAGAGCACAATCTTAAAGAGTTAAGGCCTAGCAGCCCCTCTTACAGCTCAGAACCCGACGTCTCTGATGATGAAATGGCTGCTCATGTTCCAGAGCCAGTAGGGATCGAGTTTGCACACACAGACGAAGTCATAGACCCCCGATTATTGGAGGCAACAGCATACTGCCACCCGATTGAGCGAGCTGATAATCCCGAGAGGTTCAGCGAGTCTTACTGTGATAACTCAGACATTCGCAAGTCAACTTTAGAGTCAGAGCAGTCGCTTGTGTTCCAGAATGCGACCATGCGCCACACAACTCCAGAGTTTGAGCCAGAGTTCATATCAGAACTTGAGTCCGGCGAAGACATGTTGCCAGACGAATGCCACAGCCCATCGTATGAGCCAGAGAGCACACCAGAAGCTGATTGCAACCAGCGCTTCATGCTTCCAGAAATAAGCACCAGCATCATGGAGATGTCAGAGTTGTACCAGTTTGCCCTTGGGTTTGAGCCGGATGTGTCCAGAGCCGACCCAAGAGCACTGAGCGATAGCCAGCGCCACAGTTTGTGCGATGCTTCATGTTGTGTCGAGTCCATGCAGAGCTGTGAGCGACAAGTGCCCAGTGAGCAAGTGTGCCAAGTTGTCGGTACAGCTGTAGCTGCTGTTGATCTCAAATCCCCGAGCATTCTAGCCAGCGTAGAAGCCAAATCAGTCAGAGGACCCATTATTGAGCTGCCCCCTGGGCTCAGAGTAATGCCCCAGTCAGTAATGGCCAGAACTCCAAGAATCGAGTCGGCTGAGTTCCATAGCGCCAGAGAGCTGCTTATTGTGCGCAATTGCGTTGACTTGTCCCAATCAGACAAAGTACAAGTCCAAGACTTGAGTGCTGCGACCAAGACCAAAGAAGGCAGCCATGCGGAGTTGTCTGTTGAGTGTAGTGATTCCAGCTGCCAAGAGGCAAGCTCAGTGATGATGCCCCAGTGCACAAGCGATCTGTTTGCAACTTCTGATATGACCCGAGATCAGATAGAGTCAACCGACTTGACTCAAGTGCCCAGCTACAAAGCTATAGATGCGACTTCAGTCCATAGCGAGGACAAGTCTCATGCTCCTTGCAACAGACCCGCAGATTTGAGTGACTGTTTGAGCACCCGAGTTGACGAAACAGATGTTTCAGTTTGGGACCCCAGTGGTGAGTCCAATGCTGGCCTGAATGGAAATTTGCCCAAGTGTGCAAAGATGCTGCATTCTGTCCCCATGTATAATGAAGGACATGATACTTTGCCCAAGAAAGATCCAGAAAAGGCTGCGAGGCGCAGATCCGATTCCAATTGTGGTGAAGCGTCTGAGCATGTTAAGAAGCTGACCACCTTGCCTGAGCATGATGATGGTCATGCTTACTCAAACCCTCTTGTGAGGTCTCAGTGGGGTCAGCACACAGAACCATAAGTGATACGAAGGTGTGTATTTTACAGTGTGTGTAAGCAGTTAATGGAAGTTACCGCTTACCCATGTGACTATATGTACCTCGTAATTACATATGGCTTGGGGTTTGGGGCTATTGCCCTGACACCTCTGCCACAGTACCCCCCCTCAGATGTTGCGAGTGGGAATTAGCTACAGGACCAGAAAACAGAGGGTAGCACTCCAGCTCACTCCCCAAGAGCTAGGGAAGAAAGAGAAAGGGGGCTGGAGGGTGTTGCAGTAGAACAGGTCCATATATTCAACAGGGAGGGGGGGGGGGATTTTGGGGAAAATATAACTCTGGTAACTCTTGCTTATCTTCTTTCCATGGTGGATTTCCCTAATGGTCACAATAGCCCTTTACCAATCGTATGGCCACTCACAACACCCAAGTACACAGACTTCAAAAGTAGCAGGAGGGGGAAATCTCTGTTTCGGTATCAATCACTACGTACATATACTCATACTGCATATATTCAATAGTGGAAAAGACTCCGAAATATATGGTTCGGCTAAGCCAAGCCTTCACCAATAATGGTGATAAGGCTCAGTTACCATTGGCTTTGAATAAATTCCCAAACAACAAAAGAAGAATGAAATGTTAAACACCAACTTCATAATACCACTCCCAATATCGCGTCAAAACTCCGTCCCTTTATTCCATTCGACTCTCCTCATCCATATCTTTCTAACGATACCGATTTTGTGAAATTTGGTGGAGATTTGACTGAGAACAGGAATTCTCAGACACAGAATACATATCTTGATTATCCACACACAGGGAAACTTGGACCAAATAATATGCCATAATTCCAAGACTCCTCCCATGACTTCTTTAGTATTTTTATCATTTAACTAGCCCATATTCTCCTGGAATTTCACTGAGACTAGCTTGCATGTGAGCATCCACATAGTTCATATCATCCCATGACTCCCATCATGCCCGATAATCAGAATATCTCCACAACCACTGAACCGATTAGGGTGAAATTCAACACTGAGTCTTTGGGCATTCTTCTGGATTTAATGACTACAAAATCGTCCTCTTCCGTCAACTTTTGACCTTGTTCCCATGGTTGCCATCAAGTGCATGGACTTTGCACATGAGGACACCTCAGGTTAAATTTCTGCACCAAATCTCAACCAATTCTTTCGCAGAAAGGCTCTTTCGGTTCGTACGAAAACCCTCTTTCTTCTTTTTTATTACCCCCCCCCCTATAATTCCTTTTTCATAATAATGTACAAGGGCAGGAGCCCAATTTTGATGTATTTACTGTTCCATGAAATTGAGCACACCCGTTATGCACTCCTACAATGTATGCAAACTCGTCGGTATATGAATCCGCCCATGCTCCTTCCTACACTTCCCATGGGTGCAGCCATCCTGTGCACCACATTCATTACTCTCACCATCATCAAGATGAGGACTCATCCAGATGCCGACATCAAGACTTGTCACTACGATGACAACTATCTCAGCAACAGTGTCACTGTCGATGCAGCAAGGTCCATGACAACTCATAGGACCACATCAAACCACCCATCTGGCCCTGGCCCATCAGGATCCATGCCATGCAAACAAATGAGAAACTAAACCCCTCATATCCCTACCTTCATCAACGACAATGCTGTCATTGATTACTCACTTCCCACCTTGTCAATGACAATGCTGTTGTTGATTATTTACTTTGTACTGTCAGAGACCAGGTGCAGGACAAAGGAGACATCCCCATGGCAGAGGGCTTCAGCCTCAGCGACTTAGACCAGGAGCGCTGTGCCCAGTTTACACATCCATGCCCTAACTTACTAACTGGCAACAAGAACTTGAGTGGGGGGATAACTCTAGTTGATTTTATCACTAGGGTGTAACCTATCTACAAGTTATGTATATATAGTTACATAGAGGGCAGGCCCATGAATAGCGGGACTGAGTGGAGTGGAGCTAACGGAGTTAGATGTTAGCTGACTGAATATTACCGACCAGTTGGGTTACAGGTTTAGCGGAATGACAGGCTATAACCCACAAGTGGAAAGGAGGGGTTGGCCCAAAGGTGGGCTTGCAGGGCAAGCAATGAAATTGCCCAGTGGAGGCAGGAGTGCGCTAGCGGACATCGGAGCTGTCTGGAGACCTTCGGGGCTCTGTACTTAGGGAGGTGTAGGTAATTGGAGAGGTGGTGACCATCAGGGGAGTCAGAGGTGGTTGTGGAATCTGGAGGCTCCGAGGTTAGTGCTGAAGGAGTGGAGGGAATCCGGAAGGACCGGAGGTAGTGAAGGGTGATGGCCATGGATGGATATGACATGTACCCATCTTCATCAATACAATGCCGCCATTGATTATTCACTTTATTCTTTGTCAATGACAATTCTGCTGCCAATGATGGTATTCCATGACTTGTTCTCAACAGCATTGAAGCTGTTTTCCTTTTACAATCACAGCAACAAGAAAGTCGCTTCATCATCGACAACACTGTTGTCAAGAGCTGGGTACATATGTTCCAGGAGAAACTCTAAGTGGGCTTTGCTGTCATATCCATCCATGGCCATCACCCTCCACTACCTCCGGTCCTTCTGGATTTCCTCTGCTCCTTCATCACTAACCTCAGAGCCTCCAGATTCCGCAATCACCTCCAACTCCCCTGATGGTCACCACCCCCTCAATTCAATATATTACCTACACCTCCCTAAGTATGGAGCCCTGAAGGCCTCCGGACAGCTCTGATGTCTACTAGTGCACTCCTGCCTCTGCTGGGCAATTTAGTTGCTTGCCCTGCAAGCCCACCTTCGGGCCAATCCCTCCTTTCCACTTGTGGGTTATAGCCCATCACTCCACTAAACCTGCAACCTGACTCGTCAGTAATATTCAGTCGGCTAACATGTAACTCTGTTAGCTCCACTCCACTTGGCCCTGCTATTCACAGGCCTGCCCCCTATGTAACTATATATACATGACTTGTTTACACCCTAGTGATAAAAATCGACTAGAGTTATCCCCCTTCTAGTTTCTCATTTCCAGTTAGTAAATTAGGGCACAGATGTGTAACTAGGCACAGTGCTCCTGGTCTAAGTCGCTGAGGCCAAAGCCCTCCACCATGGGGACATCTCCTTCATCCTGCATCTGGTCTCTGACATTTGCCTACCAACTACTACTATAGCCCCCTGCAATGAGTGTGCCCCTGTTTGCATACATTCTGTCATATCCATCCCCAGCCATCAACTTCCGATCCTTCCGATTCCCTCCGGTCTACCTCCGCTCCTTCCTCACTAACCTCGGAGCTCCCGTATTCCGCAATCCTCTCGGTACCCCTTGATGGTCACCACCCCCTCCTTTCAATTTATTACCTATGCCTCCCTAAGTACGGAGCCCCGAAGACTTCCGGACAGCTCCGACATCCGCTAGCGCACTCCCGCCTCTGCTGGGCAATACACTCGCCTGCCCTGCAGAGTCCACCTTCGGGCCTATCCCTCCTTTCCGTTTCTGGGTTATCACCTGCCTTTCCGCTAACCCCGCGACCCGACTCGTCGGTAATATTCAGTCGGCTAATGTTTAACCCTGTTAGCTCCGCTCCGTTCAGCTCCACCATTTGCGGACCCGTCTGCGCTGTAACCATATATATATCCAACTTGTACATAGGTTACACTTCAGTAATAAAATCGACTAGAGTTACCCCCCTTCAGTTCTGATTGCCAGTTAGTAAGTTAGGGCACGGACGTGTTGCTAGGCACAGCGCTCTTGGCATAAGCCGCTGAGGCCAAAGCCCTCTGCCACGGAGACTTTCCTTCGTCTCGAACCTGGTCTCTGACACATTCTTTGTATATATTTCTTTAATATGCTCATTTTCCCTTCCATATGCTTGTACCCTGTCTGCGATTCAATATCGCAAGGGAGGACGATGTGAGGCCCCAGCCCATGTCTATATTCCACTCACAACATCAATTGATGTTGTGTTGTCTAATAATTATGTTGCGACACTAATATAGCATTGCTGTCATATCCTGGAATCCCGACCCCGTAATCTCCCACCTCACTACACCTTCCTAACAACCTCATCATCCCCTATACCATACCTCCCTACTTCCCAACAACACCTTTCCCCCCAACTGTCTCAGCTCCGACCTGGACCTTGGCACACTCACCCTTGGCCATCTCCATCCTGGAGGCTCGGTCCCGAATTGGAACATTCGGAACCCCTGGATTTGCTTCGGACCTCCCAACAGATCTCCAACATGTTGTTACATACTTCTAAACCATTCCCCCCCCATTTCATTTAGTGGAGTCACCCAACATTCTTTGGATATGTAACTCTGGCTTCAGAGCTACCCTTATCCTCCGGTGACCCCGGTCTCGTCATCTTAAATTAGTCACCTTGCATTTGTAGTTCGACTGTTGTCTTCCTTCCATTCAGTCGGCTGACTCCCCCTTACCCATTTCTTGTTCTCATTCATTCCCCAGCCTTCTACTCCGCCCTCCTTGACCTGACACCTCAGTTCCCCATCAATGAATATTGTTCGGAACCTTTCAGTACCTTTCAGTATCTGTCGGTATCACATGGACTTTGACTAAAGTCCTTCTCCTCCTCCCTCTATATATACATGTAGATTAGAACCTGTTGTACTCTAGTTCTAATCTCGACTAAGAATACCCCAAGTTCCTCTATGAGTGATTCCTGACCCCCTTCTACAAGATACCCCAGACATCTTAAATGAAAGGACTAACTGAGACGTAACGGAGGCACAGCGCTCCCTCCAAGTCACTGAGGCCACATCCTTCTTAGAGCCTCTTGTACAACCCAGCAGACTCGAGCTTCCTGGAGAAGCTTCGGTTCACTACCGGAGCTCTCAGAACCCCTCTAGTTGAGCCCTGCCTGCATTCAGTCTCACATCCCTTTGTGGGGTTTTTGACAATTGCAGATGCTTCTCTATTTATTTGTGCCAAGAATGTATTAAATATTGTATATAAACCCTCAGGGTAGCTGTAAAGGGCAGACCAGCCTTTACTTCTACCCCATCAATTTAAAGTGTATTATTGGACAGAACACCTGAGGCCTGAGGTGAACAGGGGAACAGAACATTACCATTGTCAGAGACCAGATCTGGGACAAAGACAACGTCCCCATGACAGAGGGCTTCAGCTTCAGTGACTAAACCAGGAGTGCTGTCAGCAAGTCATGGTAGTTAGTGGGAACCACCTCTGGCGGTTTCTGTACATGATGTGTGCTATCTACAAAATGAAATGGTCATGGGAAATCCTGCAAAATACAAACAACTTCAGCCAGCACCAAAACCCTGATGGGGAAAGCTTTGCACAAGGGGGGGAATGGGAGAGAATGGGAGAGAATAAGTAGGGTATTGAGAGAGAGTGATAGAAGGGGGGATCTTTGACTATGCAATGGATATGGTTGTTGGAGACTCTATATCTGTCATATCCATACAATCCTGACCTTCACTTCGGGCTCCCGGAACTCCGAAACTGACTCTGGAGCCCTACTTCCCTTCCATCACCTTCTCCTTGCCAACTCCCAAGAGGTTATCCCACCTCTGGCTCTGACACCACCTTTGGTCCGACTCTGGAACATTCCAGGTCTGACCTCATCCTCAACACCTTCCAGACGAGCATGCAACACCTATGCTCCCGACTCCAGACCTCTGCTCTGGAATCCCCACACCACACCTTCCTAACAACTTCACCATCCCCTACACCATGCCTCCCCACTCCCCAAATCACCTTCCTTCCTGACTGTCTCAGCCCCGGTCTGGTTGCAGCACACCGAACCTTGGCCACTCCCATCCTGGAAGCTCGGTCCCGAGTCGGAACATTCGGAGACTCCAGATTTGCTCCGATATCCCAACGGACCTCCAACATCCCATGACACACCCCTAAACCATTTCTCCACCCATTTCATTTATTGGAGTCACCCAACATCCTTCGGATATGCAACTCCGCTTTCGGAGCTACCCACATCCTTCGGTGACCCCACTCATGTCATCACTTATTAGTCACCTTCCATTCTTAGCACGACTATCTTCTTCTTACCATTCGGTCGGCTAACCCCCTCTTACCCATTTCTCGTTCCCATTCATTTTCCGGCCTCTTACTCTGCCCTCCTCGACCCGACACCTTGGTTCCCCATTAAAGATATCGTTTGGGACCTTTCGGTACCTCTCGGTATCATTCGGCACCTTTCAGTGTTCTTCTATTATCATTCGGACTTTGACTAAGTCCTTCCCATTCCCCCTTATAAATACCTGTAGATTAGAACCTGTAGTTTTCCTCAGTTCTAATCTCGACTAAAATGCTACCCTAAGTCCCTCTGAGTGAATCCTGTCCCCTTTCTACAAGATACCTCAGACATAAGAAAAACAAGGACTAACTGAGACATAATGGAGGCACAGCGCTCCCTCCGAGTCACTGAGGCCACATCCTTCTTAGAGCCTCTTGTACATCCAGCAGAACCGGGCTTCCTGGAGAAGCTTCAGTCCACTACCAGAGCTCTCGGATCCCCCTCTAGTTGAGCCCTGCCTGCATTTGGACTCATGCATCATCCCCTATGATCCGGGTTTTTGACACTGCCCACTTGGCCCTCATCGGGCCACTATCGCTCCCGTGCCCAACTCCGACTCTGGCACTGCTACAACACCATCGCCACTATTGTGGCCCTACACTCCTTTGCATATTTATCTGTTATTGTTTGTTTTGACCCTTGGTCATTGCTGGCTGCTGTGCGGCCAACCCCGCTCTTTGTTCCCTTTTGCTTCCGGACCCTTCGGCCTTCAGCCCAGGTCCGCTTCTATTCATTTCTTCTTCCTATATATATCCTGTATGATACATTATAGTACTTTAGCTCTAATATCAATTTGACCATGACTCCCCAAGTCCTGACCCCAGCAAGGCAACCCCAGTGAGTCTGAAATAAGGGCCAAGAGACAGCTAGGGGGCACAGCACTCCTTTAGAGTTGCTGAGGCCAAATGCCCTACCCTTGGGCCTTGTTCACGGCATTGCGGCCATCATGGCCTATAGCAGCCTGCAACAGTGACCCTCAGTGCTGACCCCGGACTTGTGTCTAACACATGCTTCCATCTCTCCATTATATATAGACACCTGTATGTACTTGCTTGCTCCTCAGTCAGTAAATGACCTGAGTGACCACAGCAACCTGAGCAACCCAAGCAATCTAGTCTACTCAACTCAAGTGCTTATGCCCCCTAGAGACTTTACCCTTGATATGCCTGAAATTAAGGACCAGCAGGACAAACAGCAGTGGCACAGTGCTCCGCCTGAGTTGCTAAGGCCAAGGTCCCTCCTTGCTGAGTCACTATTTCCACTCCAGAACCGGCAGAGACCCTCAGTGTTGTTCCTCTTCTTAGTCCCTGTTTGGACCTGTTGTCTCTGTTCAGCCCCCTTCCTCAGTGCTTCCAACTCTCCTCCTTTATATACAATGCACATAATTACTTGTAGCCTCAGTCTGAAATCAACTTGGAACCCTTCCTGGTTACCAATAGAGTCCCCTGATCTGCAATAAATCAAATGAAGATCAGGGGCATCAGTGAAATTACTTGTCACCCAGAAACAGCCTTTGTTTCCAAGGGGCAATCACTGATGGGATCATAGCAATGAATTATGCTGTGCATCACCCTGTTTCAGAGATGATTAGCAATCAAGGAATGGCTTACTCAGCTCAGGAACAATTCCAATGCTGTGTATCACCAGGGGCAGAGCCCCTGGCTGTCCTTGAAAGCAGCCCTCCTCCCAGGTATATAACCTGAAGGGCAAAAGGCTGATAAGCCCCAGATGAAAGTGCTTTTATCTCCCTTAGGATAGAGTCCTCCTTCTCATCATCACTCAACTTCTGGCTTGGGCAATTAGTTCTTCAGCAACCCTTCACTTTGGGTACTGGATAGGGTACCCTGGTTTAGCCTATAACTAATATGTTACAAATGGGTAAATTGTAGTCACAACTGTCATCTTTTCAACCAAAACATTTCTCTTGGAACTTGGAATCATACCAAGATTGTTAGTGAGTATATGGTAAACTTGCCCAAATGATTCCTGATCCGAGAGTTCTCCATATAAATCCTTGTCCGGATTCTTGGTAGACTTGGGAAACAGATGCCCCGGGAAGTGTTCGCGTATATCCTCAAACGGATTATTAAACATGGCTGATCTTTCAGCTGCCGTTTGACGATAGTACCGCCCAATCCAGTATTTGTGTAGCGCTGCAGCAAAATTCCTGTACCGTTGGTGAAGGGGAGCCTTTTTGAGAAGGTTTGCTGTTTCTTCATTTTGCTTGGAATTACGACAGTTGTCTGGGCTCTTGAACCATGATGACAAAGGATGGGGACTGATGGTGAGAATTTTACCGTCATCTCCTTTGTCCATGCAAATGCAGATGTAAATGAGACACCAGGCAAAAGACTCCGAATCGTGTCGGTACAGACGTAGAACCGAGCCCTTGAGTGCTTCTACACTGAGGAGATCCAGGGCCATGAACGGCATAGTTCCAGTGTTGTCCTTCCCACTCGGTCCCATCTGTTTGCCCAATCGAGCGAGATCGAAGTCGACAAGAACTCCGCGCTTCGTACCTGGCTTGTACATAAGATTCCCTGTGCTGATATCCCCATGGAAAACCTCCCCATCCCACAACCCCCAATGACCTGCCGCAAATGAATGCTGAGGGACAGCACGCAAAAAATGGAAACACGACATACAGAAGAAACAGTCCAAATATGCGATTAGCACGTCTTCCTCATCTAGGTGCTTGAGCTCCCCCAGACGGTCGAGTATAATGAAACGAAGCACTCGCGCCCCGGTCGTGTTCAGACCCAGAAACTCCCGGATGAACCTTGTCGAACATGTGACATACGGAGGGTCTGTGTTACCATGGATTGTGGGAATGTGGTCCCTCACTAGGCTATTGGTTTCACCGATTTGCATCGCCCGCTCGATGATCTTCACCTCACTAGCCCGCGCTTCCTCTGGCCAGGAAGCCTTGGTGACCAAGTTGTTGGTTTTTCGAATATCCACGGAAGTATTCGGATTCGGACTGTCAGCCTTCCTAGCCCCAGCTACGACGGTCGAACGGCCCGTCAGATTGACCCCCCCATAGATAAGATCATCATCGGGAAAGATATGGATCGTAGCGTCCTGGATGAAGGTGGCTTTGAAGAAGACAGAATCCTTGGGCCCTCGTTCAGGGTAGATACTCGACCCCTCGAACGCGGTGAAAAAACCCCAGCGTGCCAGGTCGAACCGTTGCATAACGAGTAGGACCAGAAGGAAGTGAGGCAGGTCATCGATGATGTCGAAGCCCCCCGTTCGAATAACACTCTGCCTGTCTGACCATGTAATGTATATTTTGCTCCCTAAAACATTGTAGCCTGAGTTACACTCGACAAGATTTACGGGGTTGAATCTCGCCTTGGAGAATGAAGTTGATAGCATGAGTGATGTCAAGGGAGCAGGAGAGCCTCTCCGCCGCGTAGATCCCATTCTGAATGTGGACTGGATGCTTTAGCGGGACCGCCGAACGTTTTGGGCTCCCTGCAGCATCCCCCCCAGTCTTGGATCGTTTGGTGGTATTGTGGTCATTGAGCGCTTCTGTCTTGCGCTTCATGCGAGGGTACGCCCATTCTGAGATATGTTCCGACGTGACTGGGCCCTTCCTCGCGGCCACCCTATCCGATCCCCTGGAGCCATCTGCCCAGAAATATAAGTGACAGATCCCTTCTGAGAGGCGCGCACTCACATTTGAGCTCAGGTTGCACCAGTCGGGTGAACCCAGTAGCTGAGTCATTATCGAACGAGGTACACGACTCTGATTCCTTGAGGTCTTCAAAGTTATTGTTGAATGTCCTCATCGAGTTAACTTGCTTCGGTAATCTGTCAAATTTCACTTCTACTGTTGATCGGACCTTTTTCCATGCCAGCTCCAGGTTTTTAGAGCCTGCGGTACAGGTCTGCGTCCCGTAAGTGCAGGAGTAGGTATCGGAAGCGTTGCAGGCTAGGCTTCTAAAGAATTCCCATTGAAGTAGGACAATATCTGGTCTAGTCCGGCAATCCCGGTTAAGATCGAGGGACTTCACCATGTGGTTGTGGTTGCAAACGAAGACGATCTGCTTGTTGGCAGAGTACTGAGGCAACCCTTGGATATCGATTTTTGAAAGTTGATCTAGGGCATAGTTAGAGGCGATTACGAACGGATCGTACATTTCTGCCTCTGTCCCGGCTTTGAGGCTTACAGTGAGTTAGTCCGCGCCTAGGGAGACATGACCGTACTTACAACTTGGAGAGCTCAATCCTCAGCGTGGTTCCTTCCTGGTTTCCTACTTCCTTCACTTTCTCAAAGGCAGATAACAGCACCCGCTTGTCACGAGCGGGAACAACTTTTCCCTTTCCCGACAGGCAGAACGCGAGCAAAAAGTCGATCATGTCAACCGCCTTGCATTGCTGGGCACTCTCCAAGTCGACACGAATCGGCTCTTCCATTTCTTCCGCCCTGACGTCGTGTTATCACCAGAGAGGCAAAACGAAAGAGGGATGACACACCGATAGGATTTCAAAGTTCCAGTCAGCAAACGAGATTGACTGGCCGAACTCGAGCTGGGCCTTGATCCACCACGAATGGGAGTTTTCTGAATCCCTTTGGCGGTATTGGTGGTGCTCTCCTCATTCTGTTCTTCTTGGGGTATCATTGGGTGGAGCTGCCCCAGGACATCCCGCTCGGTATGTTGTCGGGAACAACAAACACCAACAAATTCGGCCAACTCCGTACACCTAAAGTTCCGTAAACCACATCACAGCTAAGAGACGTTTACTGCGTTTTTCAGAGAAACTGTCCGATGAAAAGTGAATGGGGTATGACCCCGTTCGTGAGAAATCAACCTAAATTTCTGCAATTTCCACCTTTCAATACAGTCCGAATTATATTTCAATAGAGTAGCTTGCACAGCCATTCCGCGTTCCCCGTTGCACACTAAAGTCCCAGCAATCTAGTTCTCAATTCCCGTCCTCACATTGGCCATGATCAAACTAATGTTTGGCCATCTTTTCCATGATTGGTTTTGATGCGTCTCATGTCTAAACAGAGCCAGAATACCGCTGGCATGTCTTTACCCCGTTCTGGAGCTAGCTAGTATTCCGTATTCGTGGCTGGGCCCAGCTATCTGGGTCTCATTTCATAACAAGTCCGGGCTCTGAACTTCTGCACAACGGTCACTCACAACAGTCACTCTCATGGGCGCTAAGCACACCACTCCAGACATGAAGCGACTCATCGTCCTAATGTCCGAAACCCTTTCTACATTGTCGGGCTGTGGGCTCGACGAAGTGGGTGCTCCCTGGGTGGGAGCGGGCTGTTGTGTTCCTGAGCTGCTTGGCTCAGGTGTAGAGTACGGTAGGTCTACTGTTCTTCCCGTGGGGAAGGATGGTTGTTGGGCTGGTGGTCCAGCACGGAGACTTACGTCTCTTTCCCGGTATTTGGAAGCTTTCGCTTCCCGTTCCGCAGTTCTTGCGGCACATTCCTCAGGAGTCCTGAGTGGTTTGAACTGGGACTTTAAGTAGGCAGCTTTGCCTAGGCTTTCCCAGGAGATTTTCCCCTTATTCTCTGGGGAATTATATTCCTCTGTGAGTCTTGCGATACTGGGGAGTCCCAAGAAGTATTTCTCGGTTTCCTTCGCTTTTTCGCGAAGGACTCTGTGTACCTTGCCGCTTTTGAAGGCGGCTTCGGCCTGTTTGTACCAGTGTACGAATTCTTTCCCACTCACGCTTGTCCACCAAGTGTATGTGGCATCATGCACCACTTCTGACCCCACTATTCTCCTCATGGGGAAGTTGGGGTCGATTGTTATGTCGACTGGAGCTTCGACTTTGCCGAACTCGTGGAGTTCGGTGGTCTCGTATAGCATGTGGACACTTCCCTGCAGGGTAGCTTGCCCATAGGGTGCTGAGGTACTCAGTGGCCTGCCGCCTCTGGCAGTGGTCCCCGTTTTAGGGTCTGCCGTCGGTTGCCTACTGCTCTCCCTCTTCCCCTCGACATGGGTTTGCCCCTCTGAGGGCGGGCCCTTATGCAACCCGGACAGGGTCGCCTGCCCACGGGGTGGCGGGATAGTCGGTGCCCCACCCCTTGATGTGCTAGTCCCCAGGTGGGGTCGCGCCTCATGAGGCCCGGAACCGTATCCCCTCCCCCTGACCTGGGAGGCCCCCGTCATGATGGGTTTGGCAGCGAGGTCTGCCAGTGCACGTGCCTCTCTGAGCTCGCGTTTCAGTAATTCGATCTCCCTTTTTTGGAGATCGACTTCTCTCTCTGTGTCTTTCAGAGAGTCAAAGATGCCCTCAGCATCTCTTTGTGCTCTGTTGTATTCGCGCCTCCAGTGGGCGCAATGGTCGCAGGCGTCTTCTGACACCCTCGAGTTATCAGACCGTGCCCGTTTGGATGGTCTGGACGAGGAGCTGCTGTCGCTCCCTCGTCTCCCTCCTATGAGGGACTTCATCTCTTTCAGCTCCTCATGGAGCTGACCTGTCTGAGCAGCTACTGCTGACGCGATGGCTGATTCCCAGCCTGCATTTGGCTGGGGCGTTGTTGGACCTGGGCCGAATTGGCTAATCCAGGGGTTGATCTGGCCAGGGAAGTTCCCTGGGGAGTATGCCTGGGGCTGCAGCAGCAAATGCTGCCCCTGGAATGGCGCTTGTTGTGCCATCGGTGCAGTTTGCACCACGTATGGTTGGAAGCCTCTTTGGGGAGGCTGGGGGTATGCGGTGCCTGTTAGCAACGCGGATGGTTGTTGGTTCGCAGCACTCATTTGTGCTGCGTGCATCGTGTAATCCATGGCGCTTATCTGCACCTGGTGTTGTTGTTGTTCTGGGGAGCCTTGCTCCCTGGGTTGTCGTATTTCGATATCCGGCGGTTTGTTTGGATCGAACCGAGGGTTGCCTCCCCCAGAGAACGACATTTCGTCATTATGTTACTTGTGGTGGTGGGAGGGGTTTTCGTTCTTGCGTGCGTGGGATTCGCTGCAGTTGTGTGTTCTTTTTGCACGTGAGCCTGTGGTTCACGTGGTCTAGGCGAGTTGCTCGCCTAGCCCATGTGATCTCTAGTACATGGTGTGGCTGTCCGGGTGAGTTACTCGCCCAGAACTTTCCCACGCTCTTGGCTGTGGGCCATCGTCCCTCGGCTTTACTTCCTCCGCCTCCATTTTTGGGGGCGTAGTGATGCCGAGAGTTCCCTGTCTTCTTTGATAGGGAGTTTTTCTGGTCCCCTTACATTTTGTAAGGTGAGGTACTCGTCCAGGTGGACGAGGTCGTTGCAATTTCCTAGGGGTTCCCATGTGGTGTCCCCTAGTTCCCATTTAACCTTAAACCAGAGTTCGTTGTGGACCCACACGTGGTTTAGGATTTCGTGAACTACTGCTTCACGATCGGGGTCTTCCCCAAAGTCGTAGAATATGTTTACTTCCCTATTTGGGAAGATTTCCTGGTCATTCGGCTCGTGGGGTGCGAGCCGGGATACATGGAATCTTGGGTGGATTCCGCATTGTTCAAGTTGTGGTGGCAACTCGAGGACGTAGTTTGACGTTTCTGGAAATGTTTCCAGAATTTCATAAGGCCCTATGTATAAGGGCTTTAGTTTTCCTGCCCTGCCTTTGGGTAGGTTCAGCTTATCCGTGGATAAGTATGCGAGCTCGCCTTTTTTCAAAGGCGGGTCCGGGCATCTTTTCTTATTCGCCTGGATTGTTTGCGCAGTGCGATTATGTATTATCGCGTCGTGTGCTGCCATGAGGTTTTCCTTCGCTTTTTGAGCGAAGTCATTTACTCCCGGGTAGTCCGAGAGTGGTGCTGTTAGGCACATCTTTGGCATATGGCCGTAGATTAATTCAAATGGGGCAAATCCTGTCGATGTGTTCGAGCTCGCATTGATCGCGAATTCCGCCATCAACAGTTTCGCTGCCCAGTCACGTTGGTCTGGTCTAACCATCGCACGTAGTATTTGTACTACTTTTTGTATTATTCTTTCCGCTTGGCCATCGCCTTGCAGGTGGAATGCAGTTGTGAATTTCAACTGTACACCGAGTATTCGGTGTAGTTCATGCCAGAATTTTGACGTGAATTTTGAGTCTCGATCTGATATGATCGAGTGTGGTAGACCATGGAGTCTTACAACTTCACGAAGAAATACGAATGCTAGTTCTAGTGTGTTCGTTGTTGTTTTTATTGGAATTAGGTGGACGTTAGACGTCAACCTACAGATGATTACCCAGAGGTAATCATATCCCAAGCTTGTTGGGAATGGACCTGTGAAGTCCATGGCTATTGATGACCATGGTGTCTCCGGGGTTGGGAGTGGGTGGAGCATTCCGGGATTTCTCCTGGTGCTTTTCTTTGTCGTTTGACAAGTTCCGCAAGACCTGCAGAACTTGTGTGTATCCTTTCTCATCAACTTCCACCAAAAGTGTCGATGGAGGGTTTCCACTGTTTTCTTGGATCCTAGGTGTCCAAGTGTTTCGTGGATGTTCTCGAGGATTATTCCCCGAATGGACTTCCTTTCGTAGTTCCCTTTCAGGACTACTATTTGGGTCGTTCCTCCTTCTCCAAGTCGGGTTATCAGCTCGTCTTTTACAGAGAAGTTTTTGAAATTCCCCGGGTTCTCTAGGATTTCCTGGTGGATCTGGCTTTTCAAGTATCCAGATTTTATTGCCCCAATGAGGTCTTCTTCTTTGAATTGTTTTCGAAGGTTCTCTTCTGGAGTTATCATTTCTTCCAGATTTTGGGTGCTCCCCCCTAGAGTTTCCTCTAGGTTATCGCTCCCCCCTAGAGCTTCCTCTAGGGTATTTCTCGCACATATCACTGCGAGTCTCTTTTTCTCTGAGTTTTTACTCAGGGTACTGCTTAGTAGCAGTTCTTCGTATTCCTCGATTCTGTCGGGGATGATATCTTCTGCATTTTTGTCCAGGTGGATGTCCGCCAACACATAATCGTCGAAATGCAGATCCTCGTCCATTGACGAGTCGAAGTATCGTGAGAGTGCATCTGCCACTTTATTTTTGTGGCCTTCCACGTATTTTATTTCGCAATTGAAGCTTGCGAAAAAGGCTTGCCATCTCAGGTGTCTACCTGAGTTGTGGTTTTTCGCTTTGAAATATTCCAAAGCTTTGTGGTCCGTGATTACTGTGAATTCACGGCCTCCCATGAGGTCGTCTTGCCATCTCATGAGCGCTTTGAGGACACCCAGTGCCTCGAGCTCGTAGGCGAAGTACCTACGTTGTGTGTTGGTGAACCTTTTGGACATGAATGCGGCCGGGTGGCAAGTCTGCCACTTTTTGCCTTGTCCAATTAATGCACCCATGCCCGCTGGGCATGCGTCTGTTATGACCCAGACGTGGAGTTTGGTCCTCTCTTCTTCTGAGAGGCTTTCCGGTGGGTTCCACTGGATGGGCTTCAGGATCGGAGCCCTGCATGCTAGACGTTTGATTTCGTCGAAGCATTTCTGGTGGAGTGGTGTCCACCTGAATGTCTGCTTGTTTGAGCAGATTGTTTGCAGTGGTCCTGTGTAACCGCTGACGTTTGGCATGAATATCGATAGATATTCTACCATTCCCAGGAATCTTAGGACTCCTGTGTGGTCTACTGGCTCTCGCCAGTTGCGGATTTTTTCCATTTTATCCGCTTGAGCGTGGATGCCCTGTTCGTCCACTCGGCTTCCTAGAACGTCTAGGATTGGGGCAAATGGCTGGAATTTTTTCCGGCTTATGTAGAATTTCGCCCCTTTTAGGCGAGTGAATAACCACAATAGTGCTTTATTGTGGTTTTCCACCGAGCTTGTGCTGGTGAATATATCGTCGAACCAGATGTGTAGGCATCTGC